AGGCTAATCTCTTTTTTTTTTTTTGTTACTAAATTATCGTGATTTCTACAGAAAAAAAATCTAGATACAAAATAAGATTGTGAATGTTAAGTGTGTGTGTGTGTGTGTTTGCTCGTTGTTAAATTACTCTACTCATCGTGATCTACTCTTTAGGAACCTTGGGTTTGTGCGTAGATATGCCTTGAACTTTGTATGCCTGCTTTTCGTACCTGTGAGTAATAACTTTTTTTCCAACCTCGCCACCTTTTAGTTCCTTTTGTTTGACATATTCTCTTACCTTTTGTACTCATTTATTATGTCTTCTCTTTTTCATTTACTAATTTGATCTATTTCCTTGGATTACATTATTAACTGCAACATGGATTCTGATGGTCATTGTTATGTAATCTTATATCCACTCTCATTTTAGTTAATTTTTTAATTGTTTGCTATACATGCTCATTACACTCTAAGATTTTTGAAGTAGAGTTCTCCCATTCCAGGAGACGAATAGTTGAAAAACGCCGATGTGAGATGTGAATATGCGGATCTTTTTTTTTCTTGTATAAAATAATGTGAAGTATTCGATTTTTTCTTTTGTTCTTTATCTCTATCCCATAGGTACAAAAGCAATAGAATATTTCTTCTTCATTCATTGATCTTACTCCTTCCAAATTCTTTCTTGATACCTCCAAGGAAAATATTTTCATTCAATCCCATATTGGCAGTCAATGTGAGCTAATTTTGTAGATATGTATTATCATTGTGCGTCTTGTTTCCTTTTTCATAACGATTATCAAACATAATTATGTCTTATTGACACTTTTTTCAGTAGAATTGGAAGTTATCATGTTGTTTGTTGTTATGGTAGGGAGGACTCCCTGAAAGACTTGGATTGCGCAAAGTTCGAGTAAATGATTTAGGGGGTGATTGTTTATGAATTCATCTAGTTTTTAACTAGTTATTTTTTAAAATAATAATTTAAATAATAATTTAAATAAAATAATTATTAAAATAATTATTTTAAATAATAATAATTTAAATAAAATAATTAAAGTTGATATAATGTAAAAATAAGAGAAAAATGATTGGAGGTGATAGTTAGTTAAAATTATGTGAGTAGATGAATAGTGAATTAAAGTTGATGTGATGTATAAGAATGATTGGTTGAATGATTGGTTGATATTATTTAATTATATTGATAATATTGGAGATAGTGGGGTTGAGTTAAAGTTGAGTTAAAATTGAGTTTTGATTGGTTTTTTTTGAGGTGGATTGATAAACAATCACACCCTTATTTTCTCTTGGCATTCTCTCCTGTTAGGTTAACGATGGTGCTTTTAGTTTTTTTATCATTGAAAGTTTGTTGATAAACTATTGGCAGGGAAAAAATGGAGTGTTCTATTTGGGTAAATTTATGAAATTTACCCAAACGGGCTCATAAATTTGTGGTGTAAGGTTAATTAGGAATTAATGAATACCTCATTAAGAATGCTCCAATTTCCCCATGTCAATAGCAGTTTTGCTATGGAGCCATCGGATGGCTCGACTTATGGAGCCATCCACAGTTATTCACAAATAGTGTATTGACACGTGTCCTACAATAAATGCACTTTGGACAAGTGTCAATACATTAAGTCATGGATGGCTCCATAAGAAAACCATCCGATGGCTCCATAGAATTTTTGATGTCAATAGTTTATGATGTTTATCAACAAACTTTCAGTGACAAAAAAAACTAAAGCACAATCGTCAACTTAACAAGAGAGAGAATGCTCAAGAGGGAAATAAATCATTTATTCGAACCTTTTCTTCCTCGCGCGATCTAGGTCTTTTAGCAACATGATAAGAAATTCTATTGAAAAAGTGCCAATAAGACCAACACAATATCCTTAACAAGAGAGAATGCTCAAGAGGGAAATAAATCATTTACTCACCTTTTTCTTTCCTCGCGCGATCTAGGTCTTTTAGCAACATGATAATTTTGAAATTCTATTGGGAAAGTGCCAATAAGACCAACACAATATCGCATTAAAATGTTTGGTAACCGTCATGAAAAGGAAACAAAAGTGTCAATAAAACCAACACAATATCAAATAAAGTTTGTGCTTTACTCTAGTCTGGGCTCTACTTAGTATATATTTTTTTGGTCAAAATAATTTTAAGGGATATCAAATCTTGCGGAGATGAAAAGTGTAACTTTTGACTCCCTATTTTTTTTTTTTTTTATCTCAAGTTAGAGTTTTCAATATAAATTTATGAAGTATGAGATTTACCCAAATGGACTCGTAATTTTGTGGTGAAAGATTAATTAGGAGGTGGTGTTGGTGGTCGCGGGCTTGTGGGTGCAGCGACTTGGTCCGTGAAGAGGCACGGGCTAAGCTTGGACGTGGGCTCGTGATGGCGTGGAGTGGCGCAGACTGAGGTGCAAGCTTGCCGGCGTGAAAATTGACGGACGGCGGCTCGCTATTTTGAAAGAAAATGGCTAGGGAGTGATGGATCTTGAGCAAATGTGGAAGAAGGTGAATAGTGAAGAGGTTGGGTTTGGGTTTTTGCTTGTGGAAGAAGATGAAATGAGGTTCGGTTCACAGTTATACACACATGTGATACTAGGGTTTGTCTTTTAAATTGGCCCAACTATTAATGGTCGACTTAGGCTTGGAACATTTAAAATGCTACTTGGGTTCGGGATTTAAATTGACTACTCGAATTAAAAATGGGTCGACTAATTAAAATAAAATCGGCTAAGAATTAAATTATCTCGATTAAATAGTTGGGCCCAGAATAAAACTAGCCCACTTAAATGGCTCGAAAATTAGCTTGTTTGGGAATTAAATAAATTCTCGACTTTACTAATACTCGATTAAAATAGTAAATCGAGGCTTAGACTTAGAATTTTATCTTGTTTCTGAAATAATATTTTGAACATTTTCTCCATCTCTTAGACTTAGAACTTTTTATTATATCTAAAAATAAAGTCGAGTTATATATATAAATCTGGTTCGGGACTTACAATCTATCATCCTTAAAACATTTTCCGTCCCCGAAAATGACAAAACTAAATATAAGGCCAACTCGACTATAAAGTAGAAACTAAAAATACAAAGTACGAGAATACTAATCAGAATTGGAAATCTGGACATCGAGCTCGAATCTCCTCCTCTCGCTCCCACGTGGCCTCAGCCTCGCCGTGGCGAATCCATCGGATTTAAACGAGCTCTACATCTCAGTTCAGTTCCTCAACCGCTCAACCTTCGATCCAGAATAGCCAACGGTTGCTCCTCATACGTCAGCTTCTGCCTGACGTCAAGCTCGCTGTAACGCAACACGTACCCTAGATCATGCACGTACTCCCTCAGCATCGACACGTGGAAAACGTTGTGCACACCCGAAAGCTCAGGTGGCAACACCAACCGGTATGCTACCTCACCCACTCGCTCGAGGATCTCGAATGGGCCTAATAAACGGGCTGCAGCTTCCCCCTCTTCCCGAAGCGAACCACGCCCTTCAAAGGCGTGATCTTTTTGAACACTTTTTGTCTTATCCCGAACTGGGGGTCTCGTCCACGCTTGTTAGCTTTTTTTTTAACCAAACTTCTCTTGCTGCTTCATTGTAAGTTTGTAACTAAGTTATCTCGAACTGGAGGTCTCGTCTACGCCATTGTTTAAAATAAATGAATTGCTCAAATTACACGGGTGCAATATTCACCCGATGTAGCGCTATATTTTGTTACATGATTATATGATTTGATTAAGAGTGCAGATTATTAAGGGTATTGCTCGAGATTTGCTGTTGCACTTGCTATAAACAGAGGACTTAAACTATTATTTTTTATTGCTCGACTTGTGTTATCGACCATGAGCAATAAATCAACCAATTTAACTGGAACTTTTTACGATGTTCGATATTTCAACCAACTAAAATGGAAACTAAAATATGCCTTGTGATACAAAAGAAAAATATGCTATACTTAGGATTATCTGTTTCTTATGTGAAGAGAGACCGTTTTAGTAAAGGCTTTGACACCCTACTCTATGTTGTGTTTTCCTTATTTGCTTTTGAAAAAGAGTCGGTACATGCAGAAATTCGAAGTGTTGCAACTTTGTGCTTGGCACATATTTACCATGCCTCAGTATGCTCTTCATATTTTGGGGTCTGTTCATAAATATATTGATAATTTCAGTTTTAATTGAAGGACATTCAGTTGACATTTTCGCCTCTTGAGGTGTGGCTTGTGTTTTTTGCGGCAAAAACACGTGCCTTGCTGTATATCCTAGAGGAAGATGAAGATGAAGATGAAGCTACAGATTCAGAATAAATATTCTTTAATTTTGAGCTACTTTTCTTATTTTAAAGAAAAAACCGTATCCTTAGTTTTGAGCTGCATTTTCCAGTTATAAGGTTTATGTGTCTGATTTCTTTGTATCTTGTACTAGTTGTGTAACAAATCTAAGTTTTTCGCTGACTTATCTTGTTTTTTTTTTTTATTTATTTTTTATGTCGAAAAATAAAAATGAT